AGGGTTTCCTGGGTTTGAAAGTTGCCATGGTTGCATTGCTGTGCTGTTTGAATCACAGTTGAAGTTTAACCCAGTGCATGACGTCCATCAGAACTCTTATTGGGGAGTCAGCAGCCAATAGATCCGAGTGTTGTGCGTCTTTTAAGTCTAGATAAAAGTACCCCAGTGACTGTGATGGGACACGTTATAGAACAAATACAAATAATAACATTTGAAAAATAATTGTTTTTGACTAAATTATGGGGTCTATGTTTGAATCTTCCTGATTAAATAGTGAAATAGTGTTAATAACAGCTTGCTTAGTCATTTCCTGGCCTCATCTTTCACGGTTGCTTCTGTGCCCTCTGTGCAGGTTAATGTGTCTGCTCACACAAAGACATTTGAAAATGATGGAATGTGATTTTAGTTGGTGGTGTGATTGAGGGAGTTCCCGAACAAAGAATGAGGATGCACATGCTTGTCTTCCTTCTCGTCAGCTCTCTCGTTCTCCTTGTTCACCACTCTTATCTTGCAGCTATGGCGACAGGGTGGAGCATTTCCGTGTCCTGGAGGGCGGCGGTCAGTACTGCATCTGGGAGGAGTCGTTCTGTTCCCTCAACCAGTTGGTGGATTTCTACAGAACTCACAGTATTGCTGTGGAGAAAGTGGTCTGCCTCAAAGATCCTCCCTCATCCCCTGAGCTGTTGTCGCACTTGGTGCGTAACCCCTATCCTAACCCTTACAAAAGCACCTCTCAGGAGTCCATCCCCTCGGGCCGTCTCTACTCTAACCCCTCTCATCCGGAGGGAAATACATCATCGCGTCTGCTGAAACCAGTTGTGGAGGTATGACACACCACCTCGACGCGTCTCTGTTTCTCATAAACGACTCGTGCTTCTGTTAAACACGCACCTGTCTGTCTGACTTCCCCGTTTTGGCTCCGTCTTTGTGCAGAAGCCTCGGCTGGCTCACGCCCTCTGCGACTACACCCCCCCTCACACCGCCCACCTCCACTTCCTGCGCGGTGACATCATCGACCTGCTGGACTGCTCGAGCTCCTTGAGCTGGAGGGGTCGCTGCCGAGGCCGGGTGGGGGTCTTTCCACCGGAATACGTGCAGCCGCTGTACCACTGACGCCATATCAGGACTGGGGCTGCGTTGCTGACACTTATCAGTCAGCCTGCAGTGACTCACCTTACTTATCCAGTGACCAATCGCTGAAACAATCAGTCAAATGAGACTGACTGAGCAGATTTCATTACTGATTAAAGACCTATTTCCTGTCATCTTTTCACTATGACCTTTAAATGATAGGTCCTGTCTCTATGATAGCGACTTGTCAATCTCAAGGTTTGCCCGCCCTAAATCATATCGCCTATTTTACTACAAACGGGACCATCATTTATCAAATGAACACCACGCTGTAGTCAGCAAGCTCTGAAAACGGCAACTGAGACCATGAACCAGTTCAGATCCTGAGGTCCTACATCCACGAGCACTGCAGTCATTTTCTCATACAGGCCTGCTGCCCGGCAATGCTGCTGACCATTAGAAAGAATTCAGGTTTAATTCACCTCACCGGCGGCTTCATTTTTCACACTCCAAGGCTGTTTCAATCCTTTATATACAGTCTGTGGTTGAATACAGTTGGATAGGAAGAGATGTCACACACACACTTACACAAAATCACAACAAAAACACACCCTTACGCTCCGGATTACCCTCTGACTGTTAAACTCTACCTAATACCTGCGAGTGTAAGTGGATTCACGTCTATTTAGTTATAAAGAAATGAACCAACGGCCTTTTGTAGGCAGGTTGGAGGACTTCAGTGCAAAATCAGTGTAGCACTTTTCAGGTTTTTGTTGTTTTTTAAAAAAATAATGTATGCCATTTTAAGTAATAAAGACAAATAGCAAACAATGCTTCTGGTTCCCTCTTCACAGATCTGAGGATTTGCCGCTTTCTGTGTCTGACACCATTATCCTTATTTCCTAAATAACTCTGGAAGTTATTTACATAGCAAAGCTTGGCTGTGCTTCATATTTGTGGGGCAATTTTACAGACTTATCAGTAAAACTAATAACAACTTACAGATAATTTCATCATAAGCCGAATTGTTTAGACCATAGGAGGAACCTGTGCCGTTTAATCTGAGTCATTCTGAACGGCTTATACTGAAAATATGAAGTGAAAGTGAAATTTAACTCCATGTTTGCTTTGTATAGCCATCTTATCTTTGCTTGTTCCCCCCACCCCACCACCACCACCACACCAGTGCTTATTGTACATAAACTACACAGAAGTCGAATAAAGAGTCTGGACACAAACATCCGTTTTTTTATCTTTTTATGCACACATCATTCAGTTTAGTTTTGATATCACCTGGAAAAAAAGATTACAGGACCACATGGAAATATTACTACTGATAAAATGAACATGAAATTTCTCATTATTTCTCATTGGGATGCATTTGGAGCTGCACTCACTGTTCCATCGCTTCCATTGGTAAAGACTTCAATATAACAACTTTAGGTCATGTGTGAGAAATTCTGATTAAAATTCATAAATCATGTAAATAAAAGGATAAATCAAAAGAACATTTAGTGCAAACATTCACACAAAGCTCTAAACATAACTAAATAATCAACACTGAGCATGTCGTTTCTAGGCAACAATATTATGTCACACGCAGAGCCTGAACCACACTGATGTGCTCTCACTGCATATTGTGAAGCTTTAAATTAAAGGTGATGTTTGATGTCCTTTTATTTATGTTGGTTTGTTATAATCCACACACTTCAACATTTTATCTCCATGGCATTTGCCCATTATTGTTATAATGATTATTATCTAAATTTAACTGTTTTAATACATATGTGTGCTGTGCTGTCCTCCGGCATCTACCGGCTTTACACTGTGAGTCGATGTCTTAATGATTCGAGTGAAATCTGAGCAAAAACCTGTTTGTTTCTTCACATTCTTGGATCTAGAGGGATCACGTTCCAGCTCGTGTTGGAGGGACTACAGTTCAGCTGAGGCCAGATGTTAAATCTGACCTCACCTCAGGCAAAGTATGCATAGAGAAAAATGTTAATGCTGACCAGCAGGAGAGCGTTGAAACAGCAGAACCTCGACCACAACACGCTCTCTCGAATGCTGGGGACTCTGGGAGCTGGAGTCTCCTCTGATCGCCGTACTGCTGAGATACACAATCCTGCCCTCTGACCACATGTCGTCACCCGCCGTGTTGGTTCAGAGTCTGCAACACACACACACA